AAGTAGGTGGGATTCTAGCCTCATCAAGCAATGAACTTCTCACGCCGAAAGGTGGAGGGCCCAAACTCTAGGTTCATTATTAAATTAAAAAAAAAAAAAAAAGAAGAAGAAGTTGCAAAAGCAAAAAAAAAAAAAAAAAAAGTGAGGACTTCTCCCAAAAGGTGAGAAGTGGGAAATGATTAGATGGAGGTTATCTTGATTTGTAGCTTAGTTGATTTGAGCTTGTAAGTCTGCAGGGGTGTTTGAACGCCTAATGCCCTAAAGCCGTCTGGTTTGGGAGTCATTGACCTAACGCTCGACCTCATGAATCACTAGAAAGCTTAATAGATCAACACATTACACCATGCTTCCATCTTTGATCCTATTAAAAAAAAAAAAAAAAAAAAAATCGAGTGAAAAGAATAAGCGCACCTAGAACAATAAAGCTTTAATAAAAGGTCCACTTTTTGTTTTGATGATCGGTACTAGATTTGTGTGCTAGTTTGAGGGTAAGGATGTGATTAATTCTTTAGTTGACTTAGATAGCAACATATTTGATGTCGGTCCACTCAAAAGGATTCTAGAGTTGTTTTGATTTGCATGATCATTTTCTTGATGTGTGGAGGACCATACTTGCTTACTTGATGTTGAGATTTTGGGAGATTGCTTGGAAATGTTTGAAAAATTGCATACTTGAGGTAGTTTTCTCCTAATGCTTGTTTGCAATATTGGTGCCTCTTTTAAAAGAATGAGCTTAATGTTTGTGGGTATCATTTCTGGAAACCCTCACGAGACTTCACTCGTCCACTAGGGGTAACCTAGGGGTTTAAAAGGCTTGTTGCATATGCTAAGTGCAATCGTGTTCCCTACGAAAGTGGCATTATCCGTTTATTGCTTTTAGTTATAGTTGTATAGTTATTCATTTCATTCCTTTACTTTCTAGTTCATTGATAGGGACTAGTAATATTTAAGTTTGGGGGTGTGATGAGCGCTGAAAAGTGCATATTTAAACCCCTTAAGCTTAGGCATTCTAGTACCTTTATCTATCTTACTTTACCGTTTTAGATTGATTTTGTATTATTTCCATTTTCAGGTACTTATCCCGAAAATAAGCTAACTCAGCCAAATAAGAGCAGAAATGAAGCAATTCTGGGATGAATCAAAGAAATGAGCTAAGTGGAAGCAAAAGGAAGAAAAAGGTGGAAATCAACATCTTCGATCGATCTCAGATCAAAGTTCGATCTATCCAACATGATCGATCTCAGCACTTCAAGATGGATCAGAGCCATGATGACATTTTTAGAGATCTCAAAGTTCGATCGATCCAACATCATTATTCGATCGATCGAACTGCCTTGTCCTTATCCAAATGATTGATCTTATCTAGTTGTACCACCCTACCAACCACTTTTGTCCTTTTCCCAAAAATATCTTCAAAATATCTCCAAAATATCTCAGATTTGTCTTTATCCAAAAAGCACCACCATTGAAGATCGATCTAGCCTAAGTTCGATAGATCTCAGCCATGTTCGATCGATCCAAGTCCAAGGTTCGATCGATCGAACTTCTTCCAGTGCGAAAAAGTTAAATTTCCAGCTCATTGAAAGTTGTCCTTTATCCAATCATTGGGGAATATTTTGTGCACGACCCCAGCTCATTTTGGGTGTCATTTGACCAACCTATATAAGGATAAGGATTACTTTTTACATCATACAATATCATATCATCTCATCCCTTGTAAGAACTCTCGGAGAACAAGCTTAGAGGAAGAGAAGGAGGAGGAGGCTAGAGACACCATTGGAGACTCTTCATCATCCAAGGAACAAATCTCTACCATGGAGTTAGCCCTTGAGGGTTGGAGAAGCACTACCATGAGTGGCTAGACATCCTCTTGGGACTAGAGTTAGCCCCAAGCATGCTTTCTACATCTTGATTTTGTGTATTATTGAGGGATTAGTGTTGTAATACATGTTTTGACACTTATATATATATAAATTTTGTTTATTCAATGATTTATGTGGTTTAATGCTTCCAATTGATCATTTCATTCTATCCATAGGTTTATGTATGCTAGAATAGATGTTCATGTGTTTGTCTCTATTTCTTATGTTATTGATGCATGTCTATGTGTATTAATGTTATAGATCTAGAGATTATCAAAACATAGTGCTTAAAGGAATGCTCTTGTAATTTTCTAGATGGTCCATGCTCATTTCTTGATGGATTGTGCCTCTCTCTTAGCTTAATTAGTTTAATTTCATGTCATTAGCTTAATTGTAGTGTAGTGGTAGCATAGTTGTTAGATGGGAGGACAATCTATGCTTGTTGTTTGATGTTCCATACTTTTGAATGCAAGTAGCATATGTTTCTAACCTTGTGGTGTATTTGGCTTGTGAGCTTAACGAAAGGATTAATGACTTGCTAGATATGTTGTGCTTTTCACATACTATTTAGACAATATATACTTAATTGCTAGATATATTGTGCTTTTCATATGTTGTTTAGACAATGTATGCTTAATTGGTCACCCTTGCTAATTGAATCAACTAAACACACACACACATCAATATTGCAACACACATTTCCCTCATTAGTCACTAGTTAAGGTGTAGAAAAGCATTGCTTGGTGGTAACCTCTAAACCCCAAGATTTCTCTCTCTTTTACTTACTCTTTATTGTATTCAATTATTTAGTTTAATTTGCTCTTTAGTTTAATCAACCAACTAACCATTTGTTTGATCACTCGACCTACTAACCCTAATAGTGATTCCACTACCAAATTCGACTCCAATCCATTGGGACGATCCTTACTCGCCCTAACTATAGTTTTAGTGAAGCTAGTAGTGATTTCTATAAATGCAAAACTTGGTCCTCGCCTTAATGCACACTCCTTCTAAGCTTGATGGTATAGGACGGCGAAAACACCTACCAGTATCCACTTTGGTTGATTTCGCATTTAAATTCCAAACTCGATAACCATGTGATATTGCATCTCATTGTGTTATCTTAAAAGTTCCAATGTCATTTTGATAGCATGGACTAAATTCTATTGAATTGCAAACTTTGTAATAAGATAAACTTATGCATCCTCATTCCCTACGAGTAAACTTGTTTACTCACCCCAAAGTTACTGGGTGTTTTTTAGGTAAGGAAGCTCTATTGTGGGATGCACAACACTCTTAGACTTGTTGGAATTCTTGGAGTACTTTTGGTAACATTGAATATGCACTTGTTAGCATATCATGATCCTTTTTGGTGTATTGTATAAAAACCTGTATTTATTGTCTAAACTATGTAATGTGCACTTAAGTGCACCTTTTGCCACTCCTTGAATGTATATGTAATGAGGCCAAAGACACTTATATGACATATATGCTAGTTTAAGACATATATGCTAGTTTAACTTCATAGTTTGTTTATGGATTATAAGGGATTTCATGCATTGAAGGGTCATATTTTGTATATGACATGCCATGAGGCCATAGGCCATTGTAGCACATCTAATACATCATTGTACGTTTGTATGCATGCTCACATCTCACAAAACTCTTAAGTTTTGACTTTTGAACCATTTATGGATAAATTATGAATTTTTATAAAAAGATTCATGCATTAGAGTATGTTTTAAGTTCCCTTCTATTTTAGCAGGTTAAAGATGCTCTTTTGAGATTAGGGAATGTTTTTAAGTATGTTCAGATCATATGGGATGCATGCACCACCATAGAATTGGATTAAGGACCTTTTCCTAACATTTCAGCACCTTTACTAGTCATTTCGGCCGACCGAAATGACTAGTAAAGGTGCTGAAATGTCAGGTCAAAATGCCATTTCGGTCGACCGATGGCCTTTGGGAATTCCATTGCATCAAAAACATCACTTTCCAATAGCTAAAAGCACTGTTCAGGGATATCTCGGTCGACCGATGGCTCATTTCGGTCTACCAAAGTAACCACCCCTTAAAAACATGTTTTCAATTAAGTTTCTGGTCATTTTGGTCAACCAAAACTCCATTTCGGTTGACCAAAATAGCATACATTCCCACAGTCTCTCAGTTATGTTTCAGCACTAAAGTTCCAACTTCAAACGATCATAAATTCTTTGTTTCTAACCCAAATGGGGTGATTCTTGAGCCTAAACTCAAGGATTTTAAGTCAGATTTCCAATGGTACCAATGCCATTCTCAGATTTCATTCATAGTAGGAGCTATTTAAGTTTTAGTGGGAGAGTGTCAGTTTTCGCTTAAATTGGAAAAAGGGCATTTTGTGGGATTCTTGTCCAAAGTTCTTAGAACCTCTTGGAATGTTATGAAATGATTAGATTAGGTTGTATTTACCTTGTTTGACTTGTTTAGAGTTAATTTTCCCTTTCTAATTGTGAATTGACCATTATGCCCTTCATTGACGAATTTTGCTTGTTTTTGGACACCGTTTACTCCTTTCGCTCTCTTTAAGTTCCGTGACTTCATGGAAGGTCACATGGGTGTCTTAGGGATGATTTATATCCCTAGAGACCTTGTTTATCATTTGCTTCCGCATTTCATATCCGTTACTGTTAACCTTTGGGAAATCACTATGCACCGAGTTGAAAAATATGGGTCATAACAAGTGGTATCAGAGTTCCTAGGTTCGAAAACCTTAGGACGACGGGTTTTGGGTGCATATCATACTTTTGTTGATTTGCTTTGATGTGTTTACATGCTACTTGTTGACTTATTCCGGTATTATGACATGTTTATGTGCTTAGTTTGATAACATATTTATGTGCTTATATGTTTAAATACCTAGAAGTTTCAGTGTTTGTTTTAGCATGTTATATATACTTATCTACTTTAGCATGACCGTATGTTACATGCATTGACATGCTTTTTGTTTCGTGTATTCATAGTGTGAGTCGCATTTGGTCATGATAACTTGTGTTATTGTACAAGTGGAGAGTCTTCTCGTCATGACGGAGCGGATGAGTAGGTTGAGGACACCGGGCTCACACGGGGTCTAGGGAGGCCCAGGGTTCGACCTCGTGGTATGGATCCTAATCCACCACGAGCACCGACTTATGAGGAACAGATTACACAGGGAGTGGCTCTGGGGATGTCAGAGTCCATTCAGGTGATGTTTCGCCAGCACATTGCAGGGATGCAGATTCTGGTACCGGCACCAGCACCGACACCAATTGTTAATGAGGCATTGGACTACTTCATGAAGTTACAGCGGGTTAAGATCAACCAGTTTATAGGGAATATGGATCCGCTTGCTTCAGAGGCTTGGTTTGATCTCATGGTACGCAAGCTCGATAACATGGGAGTACCTACAGACCGATTGAGGATCTCCTTGACAGCTTTTATGTTTATGGGAGATGCCGATATCTGGTGGAAGTCTATGACCAATATCCACAATATGAAGGTGATGACATGGGAGGAGTTCAGGACATTGTTCTTCGACTGCTTCTTTCCTTGGGCTATGAGGCAGGACATGAGAGTGCAGTTCACAGGTCTCTATCAGGGTAGGATGAGTGTCATTGAGTATGAGACACGCTTCACTTCTTTTTCCCGCTATGCACCGGAGATGGTAGCTACCGATGAGCTTAAGGTAAGAAAGTTTCAGGATAGGTTATATCTTGATATTAGGCTACGGATTTCAGTATTGGATTTGAGGACCTACGAAGAGGTGGTCCAGAGAGCAATTTTGGTTGAGGTAGAGGACTGAGACCAGCATAGGATCAAGGGTTCATATGAGCAGCCACGTGGAGAGGCTCCATTAGTATCCGTTGGGGGTCAGTGGAAGAAGGCTAAGGCCAGGGACAGTTCTCATGTTTAGGGACAGTCACATCAGGCTCAGTCTGAACCCACAGTTCCTGTTTCCTCGGGGAAGTTGATTTGTCACCACTGTCAGCAGCTAGGGCACATTAAGCCTCGCTACCCACAATTGCAGTCTCAGGGCAGCCGTTCTCAGGCGAGTAAGTCTTTAGCTTTGACGCAGGGGCTCAGGGAGCTTGTAATTACTATAAGTAGCCTGAACATTTCAAGAGGGAGTGTCCACGCCTACAGAACAGAGCACAGGGTGGCACTGGTTCACAGGCCACACCAGCATAGTTTGCAGTTGTGCAGTCAGGTTTCAGGGTGCCTCAGGCACCACAGTCAGTGGCGCCATCAGTTGGTTCTTATCCGGGTAGGGGTTTTACGCCTACTGCTTCTGGACATCAGTTGGGCCACCAGGGTAGTTCTTAGCAGTTAGGGGCTTAGGGATGAGCTTACGCATTGCCACAGGCCGATACCTCCGCAGGGACTTCTACAGTTCAAGGTATCTTTCCAGTTTTTAGTTCTTGGGTTAGAGTTCTTGTTGACACAGGTGCATCACATTCATTCATATCTGCACCATTCACATATTCTTTGGGTCTGGAGGTCATGCAGTGGGATGGTTTCCTTTGTGTTGACACACCAATTGGGGTCCAGTGTTTTTAGACCGTGTTTGTTAGGGTTGTGCTATCGAGATAGCTGGGCGGACTTTAGAGTTCAATTTCATCATTTTTGATATGACGAGCTTTGATGTCATTCTTGGGATGGACTGGTTATCATTCTTTCGTGCAACGATTGATTGCTTCCGTGGGTGAGTGTCTGTTTGCACTCCCGCGGGAGATTGTTTTCACTTCGTGGGAGATCGGAGTGATTCCCACTCGACGATGATTTTCAGTGTTGGTGACTGGAGTCACCGTAAGTCCTACTTGGCTAGCCTGTTAGCTGACGAGGACAGTAGTTCAGGCCGTGTTTTTTTGGCAGTTGTAGGCGAGTTTCTGGGTGTCTTTTCGGAGGAGTTGACGGAGCTTCCTCCTCTTTGGGAAGTTGTCTTTGCCATCGACGTCATTCCTGGTACTGCGCCGATCTTTATGGCACCGGCAGAGCTTGATGAATTAAAAGGTCAATTGGGTGATTTAAAAGCTAAAGGCTTTATTTATCCTAGTGCTTCACCATGGGGAGCACCGGTTCTTTTTACGAAGAAGAAGGATGGGTCTTTAAGACTTTGCATCGATTATCGCAAGTTGAATCATGCTACGATCCAGAATAGGTATCCTTTGCCTAGGATTAATGACTTGTTTGATCAATTGAAGGGAGCGACATGCTTTTCGAAGATTAATTTGAGATCGGGTTACTATCATTTGAGGGTTAAGGATGAGGATATATCCAAGACTGCTTTCCGCACACGGTATGGCCATTACGAGTTTCTGGTGATGCCATTTGGTTTGACTAATGCTCCAGCAGCTTCCATTGATTTGATGAACCGTGTATTCAGTGACCATCTTAATCAGTTCATTGTGGTTTTCGTTTACGACATTCTCATATACTCAGCTTCGGTGGAAGAACATGAACATCATTTAAGGACAATGTTGCAGATCCTTAGGGATAATCAGTTGTATGTTAAGTTCGAGAAATGCTAATTTTGGCTATCGGAGGTGAAGTTCCTTGGATATGTCATGTCAAGGGGTGGTGTTATAGTGGATCCATCAAAGATTGAGTCTGTGATGGATTGGGAGCGTCCGAAGGCAGTGTTTGAGATTCAGAGTTTTCTTGGCCTAGCCGGCTATTACAGGAGATTTGTTCCGGATTTCTCTCGTTTAGCGGCACCTATGACTCGCCTTACCTGCAAGGGGGTCAAGTTCATATGGAACGAGGCCTGTGAGTTTGCTTTTCAGGAGTTGAAGGTCAGGTTAACATCGGTTCTAGTTTTGATCATTCCTGAACGTGGTTTGGATTATGTGATCTTTTGTGATGCTTCGCGGGAAGGTTTAGGTTGCGTCTTGATGCAGACAGAACGGGTAGTTGCTTATGGATCTCGACAGTTGAAGACTCACGAGTTAAACTATCCGACACATAATTTGGAGCTGGCTGCAGTTATCTTTGCCCTGAAGGGGTGGAGACACTATTTGTACGGAGAGAAATTTGAGGTTTTCTCCGATCACAAGAGTCTCAAGTAACTCTTCTCTTAGAAGGATTTGAACTTGAGACAGCACAGATGGGTTGAGTTCATAGAGGATTATGACTTTGAGTTACAGTACCATCTGGGTAAGGCCAATGTGGTGGCTAATTCATTGAGTAGGAAGTCACGGGGGACTCTTGCTAGCATTTCCATTCACAGATGGAAGATGATAGAAGAACTTGCAGATCTTGGTCTACAGTCTTACGAGGATGTTTCATCGGCTATTTTATTCAGCCTTGTGGCTCAACCAGCTTTTGTTGGTAGAGTTATTAGGGCACAGTTGGAGGATGGGGACATGAAGGCCATCCATGTTCGGATTTCAGGCGGCGAGAATGTTGACGGTTGGACCTTACATTCAGACGGTGGTCTCAGGTACAAGGGGATGATGTTTGTTCCTTTGTCTTGTCGTGAAGACGTTTTTTGGGATTTTCACCACTCTCGGCTCGCAGTTCATCCTGGTGGTACAAAGATGTATCACAATCTGCGACGACAGTTTTGGTGGCAGGGCATAAAACGGGGTGTTTCACAGTTTGTGGCTCGATGCCTTACTTGTCAGCAAGTGAAGGTAGAGCATCAGCGACCGGTAGGATTGTTACAACCATTACCAGTAGCTAAGTGGAAACAGGAGCATATCACTATGGATTTTGTAACGGGGCTTCCGAGGTCTCAGGCAGGGACTGATGCCATTTGGGTCATAGTTGACAGGTTGACTAAGACGGCTCACTTCTTACCCATGGCAGTGACAGATAGTGCAGAGAGACTGAGTGGACTATATGTGAGGCAGATTGTCAGGTTTCACGGGATTCCTGTATCTATTATTTCGGATAGGGATCCGCGGTTCACGTCTCACTTTTGGCAGAATTTTTAGATGGCCCTTGATACGGGGTTTCATTTCAGCACAGGATTCCATCCTTAGACTGATGGTCAGTCGGAGCGCACCATTCAGATATTGGAGGATATGTTACGGGCTTGTATTTTGGATTTCAGAGGTAGTTGGGAGGACCACTTAACTTTAGTTGAGTTTGCCTACAATAATAGTTACCAGACCATTATTGCCATGGCACCTTTTGAGACGTTGTATGGCAGACCTTACAGATCTCTAGTTTGTTAGACCGAGGTCAGTGATACCGTTGTCTTGGGTCCCGATATTATCATCGAGACTATAGAGAAAATTAAGTTGATTCGGCAGCGGTTGGCTACCGCACAGAGCAGACAGAAGAGTTACGCTGACAGAAGGAGACGATCCTTGTCTTTTGAGGTAGGGGACCATGTCTTTCTTAAGATTTCTCCTCGCAAGGGACTTCTGAGATTTTGACAGACGGGAAAGTTGTCTTCTAGGTTCATTGGACCGTTTGAGATTTTGGAGCGCGTCGGTGAAGTTGCTTATCGTTCGGCGTTACCGCCAGACCTGGATAGGGTTCACGACGTCTTTCATGTTTCTATGCTGAGGAAGTACGAACCGGATCCATCACATGTTTTATAATGGACAGATGTTATTATTGATGAGGACGTAACCTACGAGGAAGATCCAGTCCAGATTCTTGATTCACGGGAACAAGTCTTGCGGACCAAGACCATTCCATTGGTTAAGGTCTTATGGAGACACCACAGCGTCGAAGAAGCTACCTAGGAGCTCAAGCAGGAGGTTCACTCTTGGTATCCCCATTTGTTTTCTCTTTCAGGTACGATTCGATTTCGGGTACGAAATCCCTTTTAAGGAGGGTAGGTTGTAATGACCCAGTCATTTTTCTTCTTTTCTTTTTTCGGTAATTTTTTTTTCGTCTTTTTCCCTATTTCGTCCTTTTCTCGTTTACCATTTTCTCTGCATAACCTTACTTTTTGTGCTCGGATTTGATTTCGACTTTGCATACATCCATGATATTTAAATTCCATGATATCTACATTTTTACTTTTGTAGAAAAGCATGCTAAAAGTCTACTTTTCCTATAAAGGATATGGATGCATAACTTCTTGTAATTATTCATTACTTTTGGGGTTTTAGTGTAATGATGAAAAGTAATTATTTTTTGTTTTAGGGATCATTTTGTAATTTAATATGGAAGATATTTTCAAAAAGGACCTTTTTGCAATTTTTGGAAAATGTGACAAGTGTCATATTCCTAAGGTGCCACTTGTTGGTTTTGTGGTGGAACCACTTGGAGGCCTAATCTTATGACACATGGAGGGTGGAGATTCACCCATTTGTTGGCCTAGGATATGAGCCCTTGTTGACATAGATGGTTGACAAGTGTAGGTTCAATATTAAGTCTTGGGAGTTTACTTAGGATGATGACAAGTGTAGGCTCACCATTTGGTCATGCATTAGTGTGTGTGAGAGGTAGTGTAAGAGCACCTAGTGAGTGGAGGATTTCTAGATCCTCCACTTAGCATTTTTTTACTTTATCTCTTTTATCTCTTTCTTCTTAAGAACCCTAACCAAGCCACAATTGAATCCAAAGCTTGGTTTAAGGCTTTGACTTCAATTTTGACCTCCTTTTACTCACCTTAGATCCTTGAGCTTGGAATACAAAAGTCTTGCCTCACTCTCCTCTACATAACCCAGAAGGAAAACTTGAAATTCCTTTGCTTTCCTTGGATTCAAGAGGAACAATCCTTTTGTGAGGTAGGGGGTGTTCTAGTTTATGCTTTTGATGTTTTATATGCCTTATGACTTGGTATAAATGAAATACATGTCTTAAATTTAAATCTTTAAGTTAATAGTTAAGGGTAACTTCCATGAAGTTAAGCTAATATATGATTTTTGGGAAGGCCATAACTTGATTCATAGCATATATTAACTTGAAGTCATTTTAGGTTACTTTAAAATCTAGAGGAAATTATAAATTAATTTAATTAATTTTTATTCATATGTTCCTATTAGTTAAATTAAGTTTTGAGGTGATATATGCAATGATCATGATAGGTTTGTGAACATATATCAAATTTAGCATGTTTGGATGAGAAATGAAATCTAGAGAAATTAGTTGTTGTAATACCCCTAGGTTTCAAAAGGATAAAATAGGAATTTAATTTTGATTTTGTTGCATTTTTATTTAGTTATGTGACTTTTTGTGTTTTGATTTCTTAATTGATTTAATTGTGTTTAATGAAATTTATTGTTAAATTGTATTTGTGTAATTATTCTACTTAAGTGGTTAATTGTTATTGTTTTAATTTAATTATTTATGTGTTTTGAATGATTTAGTTAATTATATTTATTTAGTTGTTTTCCTTTGTTTATTTGTTTTCAATGTCATTAATTAATTATTTATTAAATTGTAATGGATGTAATTATTTAATACTGTGTTTACGTATGTTGAGTTTGGAGTTTTAAATTATGAAAATAGGGTAGCCGATGTATGAGTAGGCTGGGATTAGGATTAGGGTTTTTCATGAGTCTATATGTATAGAACAATATATGTTGCAAGGGTTTTGGAGAAAACCCAATTCACGTATTATCTGGAGAGGGGAAAACAGAGGCTCTGGAATGATTTTGAGAATAAACAGAGAGGGTCTTAGGAGATTAAGTAAGGGAATTGCTCGTGGATTGAGCTAAGGAGTAACAGAGGTAGAGAGCAGTGACCAGAGGAGGAAGGGAAGGTCTTGGGGTTGCCGAAAATTGCAGACGGATGTTGAAAGGTTTCAAACCGAAACCTAAAGGTAAGTTTCAGTCTATCTCTTTCTGGTAAACTTGTGTTCTATGCATTCTAAATAGACTCCAGGAATGTAACTAAACTTTAAAACGAATATTTATGCATAATAAACCAAGCTGAAATCTATTTTTACGTTTTGTGTTTCTGTAATTGTTCTTTGATTCAACTGTTGCGACTAGGATTTAAGCTTTTATAAATCAAATACTAAGGGGATGTGAGGAGTTTCTAGGACTGTGTGGGTGTAAATTGAACTCTAGGAAGTTTAAAAATCTGTAACAAAGGTGGGATGG